TTTTCCACATGACCCAGTCGCGATCTGTATCGAACGAATGACTTACTACTTATCAACACGAATTCGCACACTCAGGTAGAAGTAGCGATTTCAACACACAGATTCCCGATGACACTAACACATGCCCAACTTCTACCTTCCTTTTACAGCAATATGTCGTACATGATATCCCCAACAACCGACATGACGGCTCAGCAATAATAAGACCATGTTCCATCAGTCTTCGATAATCTCTATACCCAGTCCGTCGGGTTCGCGTAACCTAGAATTAGATTGGGTAAGGCATGTAGAGCGAGCGTATTTCGTGTTTGCTGGGTAGTGCGGGTAAGCAGGATAGATTAAAGAACTATATTGGAAAGATGAGGCATGCGCCCAGCCGGCACCATGGCAGTCAACGGGCCGGATCAGTCAGTCAGTGGGTTCTGTATCTGCTGCAACGCGGAGATGGAGACGATTCATATTGCGTGCTTGCACGTGGTCTGAGTAAAGTGTACGTGGTATCGTGAGTTTACGTAGGACCGATAGCACATGGTGTTGATTTCCGTGGGTCTCATCATCGATCGGAGTGTCGGCCGATATTCCATGTGTACGGCAACCTTCCTACTGTAGACGTGGGAGCAGGCCCGATGGTCAAACTGTGCGGCGGAGTTTGATTGAATTGATTGCTCACTTTGGAAGGTCTAGAATTTTATGAGGTAAGGGAGGGAGCTCATCACTCTCTTACTGTGCCTGTGCTGGTATCCACATGTATCACAACTGCGATCGCGATCGCAACGGTGATCGTGATGCGGCATGGGGTTGATGCAGGTGCGGTGTATCGTGCCGCAATGTCTCTAGCCCTTTACATGGCATATATACATTATACGGCATGATGAATGCACTAACAACCCGTGTGTCCATTAGCTGGGTGGGGACTTGGAATTTGCATCATGTCGTTTTCTTTGATATGAGAAGTTTAGCGCAAACACGGAGGTCTCTACCGATCGTGAAGTTTAGTGGGGTCGGGAGTTGTCAGCAAAGACAATAGGCATTCGGAACACATCCCAAATGCTACACCGATGTACATACAAAGTAGGGGGGCCTGCAAGCCGGTAAGAGACCAACCATAGTGTATCGCTTAGTAGGCTATGCTTAATTAATTCATATCGCCATCATCGATAACTGCAAGACGCTATCAATCGTAACCTCTCAACTCCGACCTGTCCTCCGATAAACCACCACACACACTCACCAAGATCAGCAAACTACGGCCATTGGGAATCCCACTACTAACGGCAGTTGCCCCTTAGTGCCTCTCGTCACACACGATCGTGTCTTATGGCGCGTGCGATCAGCGGCGTGCTGCTTTTGGCCCTGCTTCGTCCCCTCACTAGTGTCGTGGTCCGCTGACACAGCTGTCCATCTTCACCTCAACGGGAAGGCGACGATCAGTGTGCGCTGCTTTTGCTCCGGCAGAAGACACTAATGGGAAAGAGGAATTGGTGGAACTCTGATGCTAACTCGCTGTAGGCGGGTGGAAGAAGGGCTTGCATGATTAGGCGGATCCTACATCCATTGGTCAGTGGCAGATTTGACCATTGAAACGTGCGATTCGGTGTTTTCGACGCAACATGGCGTAGGTCGTGGTTCAGCTGCGCCCCTAACGTCGTGCGGGGTCGGGAATACTAAGACAAACTTCTTGCATCCACCCAGCTCCTGATCTTCCTATTTGCGAGGCGCTGCAAGGGACTTGCAAGCACCTCTGATTGCATATTACGTGAACAGCACCTGCGCAAGTCTGTAGCTTCGCACCGCCTACCGAGCGAAGATCAGTAACATTTTGGTGCCCCACGACGCTGCTGTTGTATCCTGAGATGATCGTCAACACTAGGCTGTCGATTACGATCCTAACGTCACTTGCGAATCTTGTGGCTTATCTTCAGCGAAACGCGACGGTTTTCCAGAAGGCTTCGAGAAGTTTTGCCACTGTGGTGTTTGCTTTTCGGTGAACCCCCCTCTCTTGGTATCTAGGTTGCATGTGTTCCATGCAGGTGCACGATGATGAGAAGAGATGAGGGGTAAGCTGCGCAAACCTGGTCAGGGACGTGGTTTACGTTGCACAAGCTTCGTCATCGTACCTGCGCGACTTTTTTTCCCCTTCGATGGTAATAGCTATGCAAATGCAAGGCTGGTTGTGTATTAGCAGTTCGCTTATACTGGGCCAAGTGGAGTGTTCACAATGTTCAGGTCCGTTGATACCTAGGTAGCAATAGTACCTGCACATTGACGTATCACAGCCTTGCTTTCTCTTCAACCTCCGCGGGGGTCGATCAAGCATCGGCAAACGGGTGTTGCCGTCGAGTGGTTAGTCGGCTCCTCTTGGTATCCCATAGTCAGGCTTGGAACATATTCGTCACTGGTAGGTTTGGACGGCGTGCTGGTGGCAAGTCCGTCTGCAATGCAATGGCCGCGCGGGAGGCTGTGCGCTGGGTACAGGTGCCGAGAAGCTTGGGTGGATAGGGAAGGAGGTCGGTGTTACTCACGGTAGAATGTGGGAATAAAGGAAGATGGTTGCGGGAATTGGATAGCCACGTAACGTGGATTGACATTTTGAATAAAATCGAGCAGATGCATGCAGTGCGTTGTCAGTTTTAGTTACGATGGGCTGCGATGCTGCAACAGATGGGTTGATTGGAAATCGCACTGGATAATCATGTAGCCTACCTTGCGTCTTTCCTTCATGACTTGAAATACAGATCACATGCATCAGCCACCGTGAAGAAAGCAGCTTTTGTAGCAATATCAGCAACACGCAAAGCTCCATGGTTCCAACCAAGGGTTTGCACCGTGCGGTCTTGTGCTCCAAGCGTCGCAATTCAGCACACGCCAACATAACCCAAGAACACAAATACCTTCTCCGAGCAACATCGTGATCGGACATGGAACCCCAGCAAGTATCGAGTCATTCTCTCCACCAGAGTTGGAGTGAAACATGTCACGCCTGAACATGGCCTCAAGGTACCATCTCTGAAACAAGTAGAGTTTACCCACCTGGAGAAGTAGAACCCTGGCTTGTAACCGCCGTAAGCGCTCAACAACACAACGTCCAGGCCACAATATAGCACATTACAAACCTCACCGATGCACCATTGAGACAACATCTAGAATCTAAAGTCATGCCGTATACATGTATCACTGCATCTCTACGTGGCACATTGGCTCATATTCACCAACGTCGTAATGGCGTTCGCGGTACCACGGAACAGCAATGCAATGCAAGGCAACTCCACGTGCAAAGTTGCCCAAGGCATGTCAAAGAATGGAAACGAAACACCTCGTGGACGGAAGAGTTGTGCATGGTCTTCCTACCCACGCCACCACCAACATTACTCGGTTTCGCTTCCTTTGCGGCACAGTTGCTGGCAGTTGACGCGAGAAAGGTGGAATAGACTTGGCAAGCAGTGAGAATTGGGAGATGTGTTCTGGAAAGGAACATGGTTTCCGCAGCCACGGGACATGGGCCGTCGGATGGTATTGGGAATGTTAAACTGTATTTTGGGGTCGACGGACGGGTGCTGGTGGCTCGGTTGTAAGTCTTTGGAGCTGGTAAGCTGAGGAGAGAGCCTGATCGGTGTGCTATGTATGTGATGTAGTGATTAGAGTTTGGATTCTGTAGGATGGAGCGGGTGATGATGAGCAAGTTACGCCTTGGTTAGGGGTAGTTCGGAGCCGGAGTAGAACGCAACATGTGTGAAAATAGAACAGACGAGATTCTAGGTTCTATTACGGACGCCTAGGATGTCACATGAACCATGACATTCATCGTCAGCGGAATTCATCTCAACAACTTGGCAAGGAACATGTTCACTTTCTTCCTGTCTCACGAGCCCCAGATTTCATCACCCAACACACCGGTTTTTCCCTCTCACATGGCACATCCTTCTTCGCCCAGCTCCCCTTGCGCCAGGCACCTCGCTCGGGAACCAGCGCATCCCTTGCCCAACTCGTGGCCACGGGAAGCACATCAATGGCGTAGCTGAAGGGAAGAGCACATCAAGGGCTTTCCTAATCTAGTAGTTAATTCGCCCGGGATTTCGGACACCGTCTCCAGCCCAACGGGTACAAGTAGGGGCGGGAAAGGATCCAAGGGATGCCGCCGAGTTGTATGCAAGTGGAAATGAGAATGGAGTCTTCCTGTTCTATGTGACCACCGGCGGAAGTCCCAGTAACACGGAGGATATGGTGGATTGGGGATATCCCTTTCTCTTGTTCGCTTTCGCATAGGTTACGCGAGGATCTACATCAAGTCCCAGACGGGCGAGAAAGTTCCTATGCAAGGCATCGGATTGGAGGCGCTTCGAGTTCCAACTTGCTGGTAGGAAAGGAGGTCATCTGTCGATTTGTCACGGCTCAATGTAGAGGTCAAAACGTCACGTCCATGTTCGAGTGGGAACAAACTTTGTGTGTTGGTGACCAACATGGTAACAATCGTGATTCTAGCGTTTCGGACGCTTTGGTATCTACTCCAATCCACCCCATCCATGCCTATGAACAGAAAAAGCCTTCCCGCTATTTTTGGGGGGGGGGGAAAGTGAAAGGTAGCCATAATGATACACAGAAGAAAGTCAGAACCGTCCGCCCAAATAAGTCATTCGTGATATGCTCTTGATGATGAAGCAACGTCAAAGGTAACGCCTCGGCCTAGCCACGCCAAGTGGATATAGGAAGTGTGGCCAGGAAGTTTCCCAACGCCGTTTCGCAAAAATGTCTAGTAGTCTGAAGTTGAGAAGAGAAGTGAAAATGCCGAAAACAACCTCGCCGGGTCGTGTGAGCCAGTTGCGCCTTCGCATGCCCGTAGAAATCGGGTGTGGAAATTCAGTTACGCCAGTGGTTATGCAGCCCAATATGCAAGGTTTAGGTGATGCAAATCGCTCTGATTGCATCGTCATGATCGTCTCTGCTTTTAAATGTGAAAATGTTGGTATGAGTGAAGAGGATGACGAGGTTGAATGGATGGCGGCTTAGAAGAGACCACCCTCAACAACACCTGGTTCGTCATCTCGGAGCTGGCTGCCGCTCTTCTTCTTGGGCCACAACTTGCTGCTTACTCGCTTCCAGCTATCCCTGGTGGCGTTGGCAAGACCGTTGTGCTCGCCCCGGCTGTTGCGAGGACTCGGGGTGCCACTGTTTGAGCCTGTGTCGTAGTAGGCTTGCTGGAAGTCGGCCATGGGGTAATCGCTCATGGGCGGGGTGCCAGGAGGTGTCAGTGGGTCGCTCATTCCCGACGGACTACTGGCGCTGCCAGAGTCGTCAGTCAATGCATCGCTGCCGCTGGTGTAGCCCGAGGTGATGCGGGTGGGTGCTTGACCGGAAGAGGTGGGCTGGGAGTGGAAGCGTGAGTGTGAGAAGGGACGAGATGCCATGAAGCCGGAAGTGAGGGATGAGGGTGCCGATGCTCGTTGTTTAGCAGGCATGGGCGGCTGTGACGATCGGGAAAGGAGACTCCGCTCCTCGTAGCTGCGGGTCGATGAGCGAGAGATGTTACTGCCAGCGTAGCTCTCGTGGCTGGCGGGGTGCGCGCTCTGTGGGCTGACTGAGTTGAGGAACGAGACCAATACGCTCTCCTCCATGAGCTCGTTGATTTTGGCCACGGCACTGTCCAAGGATGATGGGTGTGGTGGGACGTAGGTGTCGGAGAGGCTGAGGAGTTGGTCGCGGACTTCAGCTGGGAGGTTGACCTGGGGCTGTGTTAGCGGCATGTCTTGTTGGGGCAGGGTTGGTTTCTTGTGTGCACTCACTTCTCGTGGACCGGACTCGCGGATGTAAGCGTCAATGAGTCGACGCCAGAGCATGAGCACGTAGCCACACTCTTCGGACAAGGGCGAGATGGGAGTGCCGGGATGGCGGTTGACCATCTTGGAGTAGTGTTTGCGGTAGCGGGAGGCGTCCATTGTGAATTCGAGGTTCTCGAGGCAGTGGTTCTGTGACAGGAAGGCCATGAAGGAGGTGAGGGTGTAGGGGGGCGGGGCGGTGTTGCTGAGTATCTCCTGGAGATTTGGTTTGCGGCATTGGGGGCTCTGGATGTTCTTGGGTATTGAGACAGTCAATGGGGCGGGGGTGCAGTCGGACATGGCCATGTTGGCGTCGCGGGCATGCAGCGAGGCCAGCGAGGGCGTGGGCGAGGATGATGTCGACGACGACGAGTGCTGGGTCGAGTGTGTTGTTATGGACAGGGCGTGGGTGCCGGGCTTGCGTGCGACCATGACGCTCTTCCAGAAGTGCTTGTAGACACGGCGGGCGTTTTTCCTGCTCTGCTCGTCGAGGGCGTCACAGGAACAGAGGTGGAGTTGTTGCGCCAGCTTGGCGTTGGCGGCACTCGGTTCGGGCGAACCTAGTGGGAGTGGGGGTGGTGGAGGACAAGGCTATGAATCCGAGGGCAGCATCGAGCGTCTTCAGCGGCAGTGCTGGCGAGGGCGAGGGCGATGGGCGGGTATATAGAGGCGTTGGGTGGGTCGGCGGGCGGAGACTGGGTGGCAGTTGTGGGCTGTGACGAGTGCGTGGTGAGACAGAAAGGCCGATATGCGTCAGGACGTGGGTATGGACAGGTGCGGCTCAGCGTGGTTTTGAGCAAGCGGCAGTGGAGAGTCAGGGAGTCTTGGGTCAATGCTTGGGCGGAAAGCTCAGTCAGGACGCACACGCCAGGGCCCACCAGCGGTTTGGCCATCAAGAAGGATCGAGGGCCCATGGCTGAGGGCACCCAAACGCCGTTAAAGCGGCCAGTCGCTGCCGCCCCCTGATTGGCCACCGCCGTCTTCTGGAAGACGCACGCCCGCATCGTCATCCTTGCCGAAACCGCCCCCTGGCGCACACTGCGCTGCCCTCTTTCGCCACCACAAAGCCCCTAGAGCGCTGCCTGCCTGTCGTGACAAACCGCGACTGCACAATTCATCACCGCCAGCCGCCGTCTGTCGTCGCTGTCGAGCGAACGAGCGCACCACCAAAACCACTGCTGCTATCACCTCACCCACCTCGAGCCATTCCCATCTGGTTCCGACGCCCGGCACTAGTCTGCCTGCATAGATTACCATAGCCTCCCCCCAGCCTTGTGCGCCGCTCGGCCCTTTTTCTCTGATAAAGAAGCCCACACCCTTCTCCAGTTTCCCTTTGGAGACGCAATCGCGACTCTTGTTGTTCTTATTCAGCTTCTTCTTCTTCTTCTTGTTCTCGTGCTCTTGCTGCTCATGGAATGTCCACAGGCAAGGCATCCATCGGGCTTCCGGCACCCGCCCACTAATCCACCCTATGGCTCTCTGAGGAGACCTTCCTTTGTGATGCAGGCAATGTCGTCTATTGCTTGCTTTGTCACAATGCCTTGCGCAGCCCTCGGCAGCAACTTGTCGACAATGTCACCTTCTGCCGCGTGATGTGCGCGCGCAACGGTACTTGATCATGCCTTCCTCGCCAATCACGCCTGCACTGTCTTACACCAGCCGAGCCCGCACGGCCACACACTTGGCCTTGAGCCTACGCCTGGGGTCAAACTCGTCCTCCAAGTGCTCCCCTCAGCCAACCATGATCCACTTGGGATGCGCCGGCGCCTCTTCTAGCCTTCTAGCACACGTCTCTAGCATTAATCTCTAGCAAACACCGTGCCAACAGACGTCTACACGCCATCTTTCTTTTGTGCTTTACATAGGATCTACGCAATCACCATCGCTGCCCTCCATGCACGTCTAAACTGCCTTTGTCATCCTCGTACTTGTTGTTGTTGTCGTCGTCGTCGTCGTTGTCGTCGCCAAGCCTGGAATGCTGACGTTCCACCAGCGCTACCACATGATCAGGCCACCCGTCTTCATCCCTGCTGCTTCGCCAATTCATTACCGTGCAACCGAAGAAATCTTCCAGAACGATTTCTCTCTTCTAGAATTTTGCCTAAACCATCTTAGTGCAGCCACAATTGCCTTGTCTGTCGATCCAGCATCGCTCCATCAACCTCCTGCATGGCCCAGCGTAACGCTTGCAACACTCCACCTTGAAGCCTCCTCTCGGACATGGCTCACCCATTCAATGTAGCGTTACATACTGTTGAGCTTCTTCCTCGGGCTTTCTCCAAGCGCCGACCCTGTTGTGCTTCGCAAGGCTGCCTCTGTGGCGCTTCTAGAAGGACTGCGCTGTCGTTGCAACACCGTCACTAGCCGGTTAACGACTCAGCACGTCCCTACGGTCAACCAAAATCAATCCGCACCGAAAATTTTGAGCCGCCAACAAAAAAAGCTCGGAGCCTCAGGAACACAACATGACGCAGCCAGTGGGCCCCCTCTGCGCGCGTATTCGATTGATTCACCCGCTTCACCGCTTCGTGGGGTTTCATTTTTTAGCCGCATCCCACGCCGGTCGGAGGGCCGCCATCCATGAAACCACATGCTAACTTGGCCGAGTCTCTCTTGTTCGAGCCTCAGCTATGTCGGAACGACATGTCTTCTCCTTGCATGGTGGCGTCCGTAATGTGCGGGTTTTTGCTTGTTAGAGCCCCAACGACCACGCCCTCGGGACCAGCTTCCCTACCAGGAGTCTGAACAAATCTTCACATACCAACATGATGCTAGCACTGTTACATGGCTGCTAGCTGTCACGAGATTCATGGCATTTAGCCTTAGTTTCCATTCTTCGCACAGCATTGCCTGTCCATACTCCATATTGTGGTGTTGAGCTTGGACGCCAGCATTGATTACTTCGGAACCGGCCACCGGCCGCCGAAGAGACGCCAGGTATACATGAAACCGGACCGATGTGGATCGTAACCACTGTTTGAGCCATGCACTGATGTCTCTGCGCTGGCAAAATGTGTGAGAGGGGAAAAAAAAGAATAAAATGCTAAAAGACATGCTGGTGGTCATCAAACTGCTTCAAACATAGGGCCAGCCGTACATGCTGGTGCCGATCCCATGCGGCTGTGGGTGAGTCAACCTGCTGACGTCGTTACTGAGCACCGTTTAATCTGGATCCCAAGACAGCCTGCGACACGCGAGCGCTTCAATCGGGTTACCTGTCGTCCTCAACAAGATGGTCTTCTGGGTGCTCCCTTGGTCTCCTTCACGTCGTTCGTTTCACGGCTCTTGTGCAAGGCAGTTCATGTCCAAACCATCTCGTCATCCGACCTGTTGGACCCCAATCTGCAACCGTGTCCCGGCCCTTGTCTCCATCGCAGCTACATCTAGATCCCATCCCTTCCCCATTATCTCGTTCCCGTACTTGTCAAACATGACCCGGACGTCCTCCAACGTCTGCCTCAGCTCAGCAATCAGGCGATCCTTGGGCGGGGCCGATGCTGTATTGGGCTTGTTACCCGAGTGTCCTTTGCCATCTCGGGCTCTCTTCGCAAGCAACAGTGCGTGCGCCCATGCTTTGAGCTGATCATTCGGTCCACACCCTGCCTTCAGTACGATTGAGATGTCGACTGCGGATGCGGCGGGACATGCTATGTATGCCTCGTTGGTGAAGACGGTTAGCAGTTCGGAGATTTGAATAGCGTGAAGCGCAAGTGAGCCAGTCTGAGTGTTTTGCTCGCCCATTTGGCCTAGCATTTCCTGGAGAGATACCCCAATTTTACAATGCCCGAGCATTTCGTCGTCCGACCAGCGCAGTACGTCACCTCTGTGGAAGATCCTTTCGCGTTTGGAAACCTCGTTTGGGCTCAGGACGACACCGTGTTGAAGTATGTTGCTGAAGAGGATACTGGCTCGTTGTCTGTTGAGAGACCGCATACGGACGGCTTTCACCGCGGCATAATTGGTGGCTAGGTGTACAGCCAGGAGGAAGAGGAGTGTGGTCCACGTCGCGAAAGGCGAGGTTATATGCGATACCACAAGGCTGCCTGCCTACATGGCCGTCAGTCAATGCACGAGTGGTGGAGGTTTTGGGGATACCAACGAGCATACCCAGTAGAGATATGACCGTCTCTTGGCTTGAGTCTTTCTAGGAACGAGTCAGTATCACCGTTCATCTGCACCCCACTTTCAGATAACGTCGATCAAAATATGTCTCAACTCTCTACCTTCGGGTCCGAAGATAACAATACGTCACTCACAGCATTGACCTCCCCCAGATTGCCCTTGCTCGCAAAGTGTGCGCTCAAGCTTGCCTTTGCACTGCCTGCACAGACTACACACAGCGCCCTCAAGCAACTCGAAAAGCTCAACACCGCCACACGGATTGGTTTGTGAAAAGCGGGCGACAAGCAATCGAGCACCATTGCTGTATCGTTGAAAACGTCGGCGGCCAGGCGAAACATCTTACACTCTGGCTCAAGAGCCGTGCCGAGACGGTGCGCAAAGAGAATTGTAGCGATGCGACCGGTCGACTCCTGGAGCACAGAGAGGAGGAGTGCGGAGGTCGGGGAGGCAGTCGAGTCACCTACGCCGACGCCTGTTTGCAGGTGTTAGACAGGCGGATACATGGTTGTGTTGTTGTTGTTTAATCGGCATAGGGGTACCGCTATATCTGACGCCTACAATGCATAGTTTCCATATCTTGACCTCAATACGTGGAGACTTGTTGACCACGCACAACAGCAAACTCGCACAATGACTAAGAAGAAACAGATAAGGAACACACACTATAATGTGCATGGAAACATACCTTCCAACACAGCTCTCGATGCCAACAGCCCTGCAATCGAGGAAGAAAATGCCTGAAGCGAGTCCTGTGCCGTATTCTCTTATCAGCTTCTCACCCCATCATCACAACGCCAGCCATTGTCAAGATGGCAAAGGTCGCAATAGACTTACATAGATCTGGTAATGAATATAATCCTCCGTCACACTCTGCGGATACCCTGCTGGTAAGAAAACACCAAGAAGGCGTTGCGCATAGCTCTTCGCTTCTTTGGGATACTAAGATGAGGGGCGTGTTGCGTTAGCGAAATTGTTTGTTGGCCTTACTTTCATGGGTTGAACCATGACTTCGATCGATATTCCCAATCTAAGTTCTGGGGAGGAAGTTCAGATTGCAGAACCAAGCCTGATGGAGAAATGTGCATGCGACATACAATCACGTCAACCCTCGTTCCCTGCGCCTCAGCAAGATACTCCAACACCAAGTTCCCCGCCTCGTCTCGCTCGGCAATCTCAAGCGCCATCGAGTTACGGGTCAGTGGTCTGAGTATGGTGGGAGCGCCGAGCAAACTCGTTGGATGTGTGGCTTGCGAACGATGTGCGCTAGAGGGAGGGGAGGTTGGAGAGGAGGGGCGGGCGGGCGAACCAACGTGTGGATCTCAGACCAAACACAACCCGATCGCACATCAATAGCTCCCCCCGCGATATCTTACATACCTTCTCCACTATCCAAAATCCTGATCTAACGTCCTTGCCTTCCTGGTAGCATCTTGAAGTTTGCTCGCCGCTTTATCCGACTATTCTCACAATCAAATACATATCTGTGCACGCAGCCACGTCTCGCTAGCCCCAGCCATAACTCATCTATTACAGAGTGATGCTTATTTGAAACCCTGTATTGCTACCTCAACAAAAATGCCAATGCAACGTACTTTGCTTCAGTCTACATAGCTTTACTGCAAAGAGGCAGCTAAGTCGTCTGCCCTGAGTGTTGATGCATTGACTTCGTATGTCGGATATGTGGTCGTGTGATGCATGTAAGCATAGTCGCCCTCAGGGAAGGTACCGATTGGTAGACGCAGTTGGGAAGCTTACGCAGGTAAGACTAAATGGGGTAGCAGGAGTGCTTTGGACTTACGTATCAACGTCGCCTACATGCATTGAACACCTGTCGACTAACTGCTTGTCATTGTCTCTCACTACTGTGTTTACCACAAGACACATGCTAACTCCATGCTGAAATCTTCTGCAATTTGCGTGAAACAAAAGCATTCCTTAGGCATGGCCTAATATAAATACAGGGATAGATATATCCTGGCGAAGGAGAAGTGCGGACAAGTGGAGGAACTAGGAGGTAGATCGAGCATGCTGCGAATGAACCTAGCATTTAAGCATAGGTTGTGACAATGAGTGACTGTAAAAAAAAAAGGGAAACCTGAGGTTATGAGACTGTGTCTTTGAGCAAAAAGGTAATATGATCATGACATACAGAGTTTCCAAATATTTGTAAGTAGTTCTTCACATTGAGACACAGCCCACAATATCCGAACGTCCTTATGTAAAGAATTGCTATTGCCTAGCAGGGCATGATCCATGAACGAAGTATATAAATACATTATCCAAGTGAAGAGTCGTTGCTTGTTGTCACTGGCTCGATATTATGTACTCGAAGCACCAAAGGACTATTGTAAAACAGAAGAGAACTAGCAAACTTGAATGTCTGCTGGTAGCACAAGCGCTACCGTGTATCTGTCAAATGTTTTGCTACAGAATCGCCTCCCAGCTAACAAAACATTACTTGGGGTATCTAACCTCATGTCCTCATATTACGTGCCAGCTACAGGTCCAATGAATTGCGCTCGAGATCTTATGCAGCACATGGCATGTAACCAGCCATGCCTTACGGCCCTTTCTCTGCTCCGCATAAAGTACGGTAGAGTTGAGAACGCATGCATATCCAGAATGTAGCTTACGGATCTGCACCCGCAGATCAAGTGCCTGGAAGACGTGAAACGCAGAACCCAACTTTTGATCGCCCTCTCTCTTCACAACACGACAAAACCAGCACTGCCGCTCAAGCGTCTCCATTCCCCCTTTTTTTGGTTGCTGTCCTCCCAAATCTCATTTTACCTCCCAATCTCTCCACCTCTTCAACCGCCGCGTCTCGTTGTCTCTCCAGCTCTTTGATATAGTCAATAGCAACCGCGAGCACCATACTCTTACTAGGTTTCACGGCACCTGTATCTCCATTATCGCACTGTGGCAACATGGGCACCGCCCGACGTAACCGCTCTAGCTCTGCATTGAGCTTCTCGCGGTATTTGCGTTCGACTTCGGTGTGGGGCATGCATTGCGTACGGGTGATTTTGCTGACGGCGGCGGTAGTAGCAGAGGGTTCTGAGGCGGGGCGGTGCAAACGAGGACGGCCCCGCTTGCGTGGTGGAGGCGGCTTAAGGCTGGTATCTTCTGGAGAGGGGTGGTGCGTCGCGATTGGTGAGGGGGAAGTTGGGCTGCCGTGGCTAGGGGGAGTTGGCAAGGGAGAGGGGTTTGAGGCAAAACCGCCGGGAAATCCGGATTCGGGATAGGTGTGTTGAAAGTCGGCTGGACAGCTCAGCGGCGAGGGGTTATAATTTGACCATGCGTTCTGAGGGGGGTTCGAGGCTGCATTGGTTGTGGTGACGAGCGATGGGTTGTTGATATAGCTGCTGGGTACCGGTGCGCTCCAATTGAGATCTGAGTCTCCTGGTGTGATGGATCGGTCGAAGCATGAGCTACTCCTATTGTTGTAGCTATTAAAACCGTAGTCCGAAAGCGCGGGATACGACTCAGTAAGGTATGCGTCGATTTCATCCGGTGATGGAAAAGCATCGCTGTTGGGAGAGTACAATGGGTTGCTCGCAGCCATGGAGAAGGCAGGTAGGTTAGAGAAGTCCATCTTGATGTGCCGCTACCGCAGGGCCGTGTTGAACGCTTATTACTAGTTACTGAATTTTGGGCGATGTCATATGGAAGGTATATATCGAAGGACTATTCGTTTCTCTGAACCCCCCTGTTCACAGACTTAGCTTGGTATCCTAGCTGGTGATCGCAGCCAGTGATCGGGTGAAAGCAGAATAATCGAACGATCAAAAGGCGATACACCGGCTTTTGCCAACTCCCAGACGATGCCGTAAGCTTGGTTAGGTATGCTGCGCCTAGAATCTTCGGAGCACCGGGCAGCCAGCAAAAATGGCGGAAACGCAACAACCTGTATCACACAAGACTTCAGCTGCAACCCAAACCATGTGACAAAAACGTTCCCATAGCCTCTCTTGCAGCTGCGATATCCGCCACCTGAAAGGCCAACTCTCAAGTAATCTTGCAGCGCCCAGCAAAATCATACGATCCGCACTAGGTGTAGCGGTCTAGAAGGATCGATTCAGTGCATTTGTAGTGCGCGAAGCCCGTCTTCCGACGGTGTGAGACGAAGCCCTCGTTCCCATGTTGCAGAGTGCCGTGACGTTGACACAGATGCACGCTGAAGTTCGATACGCGGGGAGGGAAATTTTAGTGCCGGGCGAGTGTTCCTCGGCCAATCACGGCCAGCCACGGCCAGCGAGCTGATATGCTAAACCCAATCACGTTTAGGCAGTGACATATCTGGTAATACTTCCCTCAGCACCTGGATCTATCCAGCATATGGTCATCGCCGACTGGTTTGTCGTTCCAGCAGCTTCCACTTGGTCTACCATGCCCTGGTGGCACGAATCTTGGCGTCAAACGGCTCGGTATATTCCGCTAATCGAGTGTCCACATGGCTGATTTGCAGCAAGGTCAAAAGATGGGAAATTGACTTCGAGAACCATCGACAATCGAGAATCGCGATGAAGCAGACATGGACTCGCTCAATCACTCAGCGAAAACGCCGCAGTGACGCCGTTAATATGTTCTGCGGTGAAGGTATGCGCTCATCTCGAAACACTCTTGATTTGAGACCTGAAAATGCTTCTTTTTTGCCGGGACCCGTATTACTTGTTGGCTCAGTCATCACACCAAGTACCTTTTGGGCGTTTGCGATCTCAGCTCGTCTTGAAGTGAGCAAGTATAAGCGGTAGACTGCCCTGTGTGGTACCCTTGCGCTAGCGCAATTCAATATGATGAAGTATAGTTTAGCTGAACATGCCCCTTGTCACCTGCCCTTCAGAATCCACGACTAGGAAGGTTTGCCTGGCCTGTCTCGGTTGAACAAGTTGAAGAGATCGTAGAGTCAATATACCGTCATCGTTCCACTAGTAAAAGCTGCTTCTACGCTAAGATAATATGGTGACATTCTATCAGTCAGATCCACGAAATATCGCTAGTCCTTTGTAACAAAGACGTATGAAAGGCGCGTAAAGAGGGGGTTCGCCTGTGATAGTACAGTGCGGGTACTGTACCAAGCCAAGAGACCAATCAGACTACGACCCAAAAGGACACAGAATTCCGCTTGCAAAGCGGGGGGATCTCGAAATAGGAATCAAGATACGAACGTGATCAAGGGAGAGACATGTCTCATATTGACGCATCGAGAGCGTCATGCTAGCAATTTCATAAACCTAAACGCCTCCTGCCTTGAAGATATACCCAACGCTATCGAGCGTGTACTGTCTTACCCATCCTGTTCAACTTATCCTAGTATACACACGAATGCAATCCTCTCGTCACGCCTGAAGATCTAGACCCAGCCTGTTTTGGAGCGTCAAAGACGGACATTCGCTCCGATCTTGCCACCTTGGAACCATATATCTTCTCGCCATTCGCCAATGCGAACACCCACGTTCGCGAAAGCGCTAAGTTTCAACTGCCCACCAAGTGCTCTCTTGATGGCTTGGTACCCAAGGCTACCGAATGACCAGTCGACTGGTAAGCGCGGAGATTCAGAAAGGCCAGGAGGCACAGCGAAAGGCAGATCGTAAACGATTTTTCCAGCTGTGTGACCTTCGTAATAGGCCGTCGCATCCATGCTAGTTATGTACATTGTTGTAGCGCGGAAAGGTGATGCAAGAGTGAAGACGGCTGTACTTGTGATGAGATGCATGGTAGTGCCACGGATGAAGTGGGACCTGCCATCATCTTCCGGGTCGTCGCAGTCATCACTATCACACGGCTTCTTGGGGGTTGACATGTGCGGCATAGGGCGCTCGATGGGAAATTGCGAGAGCAGGCGGCCAATGTAAGGGACAGACGGGACGGAATTTTCGTGTGCCTGGACAGTTATAGTGGTATTGTAACCTGTTGGGCGTATTAGTTCAGTTGATCGTGGTCATGATTAACACTGACGTACCGGAAATATACTGAGACAGCAACTCTGCACCAATCTTCTTCCCTTTTTCACCACCATAGGTGTAAGGATCCCAAAGAACGGATGCAAGTTTGTTTGTGTTGTTACCGGGAGAAACTTCCATATCCTTGACCGTTGCGCTACCGATATGGGAGCCATTGGCCAGAATGTTAATGTTGAAGTAAGGAACCGTTGCGGAGTATTTCGAAGGATTAGTGAAGTTGACCAGGGCAGTGATTGTAAGAGAAGTAGGCGAAGTGTCGGTGATGGACAAATTGCCGACCTGCACGTTGATTTTGCTTGCCTCGTCTTTACCATCGCCGGGCTGGGTGTCTTTGCCGTGACCAATTGCTGGACGCCAAAAGTTAGCTATGTGCAGGAGATGCGGCCAAACTTGGATCACGAACTGGTTACGAACGTTTGACTGGTACGACACCTTGCGCCGGAATTCCTCGCACAGCGAGCTTGCCCATGGGCGTATCCACACCAATGCTGACTGCGGCCTTGAGATCCATCAAGACCGATTTGCCGCCGAAAAGTAGAGCTTGCACAACTTCACTGAAGAGGTTGTCATCCAGAATTTCGATGGGTGCGTTCTTGATGACAGATTGGACGAGGAGAGACGGTCCGTCTGAGCCATGACCTTCGATACGGGTGGAGTTTGCCTTCTGCCACTTTTCTAGGTTCATCTTTCCAAGTTTCTTCTTATGGTAGTAGATGTCAGCATCGGCTTTGACCTGGGTGACATCAACGGGGAAGTTCATCTCGTGTGGCAGGCCAATATCGACGTTGACAATGCCGGAGATCTTGGGACGAGCTTCGGGCGTGCCAGGTTCAGCGAATGGGTTGGGCAGACTGAAGTGCATGTCGGCCAGAGAGAAGTTTTTGATCATGTTTCCCATGGACTTTCCGGCGAAGGGAACTGGAACGGTAATGTCCTTTAGTAGCTCCCGAGCCCAGTCGGGTGTGGCAGGGTCAGGGAATTTGCAGCAGTTGATGTAGATTGTCGCGTCCTGGCCCTTCATGTAATCGCCCAAGAAAGCGTCAAGCGGAGACTTGGCTGAGTTGGGGCATACTTGGGTCAATGGATCTGAGAGCTTGTCGACATTGCCCGTAACATCGACTTTGACATTTGAATTTGGCTTGATGTCGAGTTTGCCAGTCTGAGCAGTTCCCACCATGATGTGCTTGTCGGATGATGAGCAGCCCTCGATACCAACATCGACAGCTACAGGAGGCAGCGTGAGCTGGACAGGGAAGTCGTTCTGTACGACGATGGAGGCGTCGGCACCAAGCCCCTTCTGACCATGCTTAGCCTCACCAAGGTTGAGCTTTGTAATATTGTAGTGAGGAAGGGTTGGAATGTCGCCTCCCTGGAAGACGATAGATTGCTCAACGAGCTGCTTGCCAATATTGATCAATCCCGACTTCAACGGGACTTGGGCCTTGGCCTTGAGCCTTATCTGCCCTAGTCGGCCATCGATCCAGTCGTTGGCGACATTACGAATACCGTCGGGCGAACCGGGTTGTACAGTTGCAACAAAGGAAACATGTGTGGTGTGTCCATTCCGGATGTTTACTTTCACTCCGGGTATCCTGGCCGTGCCGATCAAGACGTTGCCATACTCGGGCAGGTAGACGTCGGCATCGAAGGGCCCAGTCTCAGCCTCGTGGGCGATCCACGTGCCGAAGCGGCCGAGATTGCGCACGCTCTGCTTCTTCACTTTGCTCGCGTTCATGGTGAAGTCTCCTTGTATGTGCACCTTGGCACCATGGTCGGTCAATCCGTCCATGGAGAGCTTGGTAGGCTTGAAGTCAGCGGCCTGCATGGAGTACTCCTCGATGCTTTCCTTGGCTAGGAAGCCGAGCATGATGAAGATGACGAGCAGACACAGCAAGACGAGAGCCAGTATGCTCGGCCATCGCTTTCTCCATAGCGCGACTTTACCACTGCCACTCTTGTCGGAGCCGCCACTCAAGGAGCGCAGCAACGAACGTGTCGCGGGAGTGCTCTCGTCTTCATCGTCTGGTCTTTGGTGCTCGTCTCGGTCTTCCTGTGAAAGCAGCGGCGTCTGCTCAGTGGTTCGGCTGGATTGCTGGGAGCGGGCTGAGCGCGAAGAGCGGGCGGACTTGTGCGAGACGGGTCGCGAACTAGGCGTGCGGGTGTCGTTGGCGCTGGAGCCCCACTGCTGCTCAGCGTTGTCCTCCTCCATCTTCAGGCGTAGGGGGGTCCAGGCGACGGACATGACGGGCGGGGTGCTGGTGCCGGTCGGGGTCGGGGCGAGAGGAAAGAAGAAGGACTGGGAGCTGGTTGAGGTTGGTCGACGTTGTCCATCTCGTCATGAACTCAGCCACTCGCTGGGCGCCGGATAAGAGCCCAGGAGCGACGTGTGCCCGTGCCTGCCGCGGCCGCTAGCCCCGACCCCAGCATCTCCACCCACATGCGTCACGTCCTAGTGCGGCTTAACAGACAATAATTCACAAGAGTCACAACACGCCCTGTGACTCAATTCACCGTCGCTGCGACTATATCACGCCTCTGCGTCGCTCCATACAGCTCCGCACACGCAATTGACGCACCATGCCCGCTTTCCGCCCCTCCCCCGCCGCTCTACGAAGCTTGCGCCGCTGCTACTCTACTTCACCAGCTGCACCTCCGACATCGCCATTCGCGCCGCGCCATCTCCTGTCCATAGCAGATCTCACGCCCGCCGAGCTGACTACACTCGTCCAAAATGCGCACCAACACAAGACGGCCATCAAGCAGACGGGAGAGGTGCCGCATTCGATGCGCGGGGCACTCGCAGGCAAGACCGTCGCAATGACCTTCAGCAAACGGAGTACCCGCACAAGGGTGTCGACCGAAGGCGCCATCGCGGCTTTTGGAGGCTCACCCATGTTCCTAGGCAAGGACGACATACAGCTGGGTGTATGGCAGAGCCTTCTACTTGCCCCTTACCTGCTGACGCGACAATTCTAGGTCAACGAATCCCTCTACGACACTTCGCTCGTCCTCTCCAGCATGACCGCCGCAATCGTAGCCCGCGTAGGTCCTCACTCTGACGTCGCCGACCTAGCCAAGCACTCGAGCGTCCCCGTCATAAACGCCCTCTCCGACCTCTACCACCCCCTCCAGATCATCGCCGACTTGCTGACCATGGCCGAAATATACCCTTCCACATCCTCTACCTCTCTCGGCCTAGAGGGTCTGAAGATTGCATGGATAGGAGATGCGAACAATGTCCTTTTTGATCTAGCCATTGGTGCAACAAAGCTAGGCATCGATATCGCCGTCGCAACCCCCGCTGGCTACGAGATTCCCAAGGCCATGCGTGAAGTCATCTCCCATGCCGCGCAAACGTCTCCCCACCCAGGCAAACTCTTCGAAACCAACACGCCCGAAGAAGCCATCAAGAATGCAGATATCCTCGTGACAGACACTTGGGTATCCATGGGCCAGGAAGAGGAGACTGCCAAGCGCCTCAAAGCCTTCTCCGGCTTCCAGATCACCTCTGAACTGGCGAAACGTGGCGGCGCCAAGGACAACTGGAGCTTCATGCATTGCCTACCCAGGCATCCCGAGGAGGTTGCTGATGAGGTCTTTTACGGGCCGAGGAGTGTCGTGTTCAAGGAGGCAGAGAACAGGTTATGGGCAGCCATTTCTGCGCTGGAAGCCTTCGTTGTGAACAAGGGAAACATTCAGTGACTAGATCCATGGTTCGAATGAACAAAGCTTCTTGATATCTATGATGAATCCATACCAAGCGATTGCATCAGCTAGCCGAGACACCCTACGGATTACTCTCTTTTCTTCTCGTCTTTACCGTCCTTTCCATCTTCACTGCCCTCTTCATTGCCGTTTCTGTCTTTCAATCCTTCTACACCCTTTCCCCAAGCCCCAGCCTTCTTGCCCCATGTCATCATACCCCAGGCATGTGTCCAGCTGAATTTGGGCGGAGCATCAGGATGTGTGCGGAAGGGACTTGCACCATGCTTGAACATGTCCTCCATCTCCTTCTGACGGTCCTTTTCAACTTCGTCTTTGGACAAAATCTTTGTGTTAGGCGGAAGTGACTCCGGCGACGGCGCTGGACAAGGTTTTGACGTAACAGAAGCCCTTTCCCAGTGTCTTGATTCAAGAGGAAGAGGCCTCCACCATGGCGTCGCCTCGTCAGCCGCAGCAGAAAAGCGATCCCACCACCTTCCTGAACACATTTCCCAAATCCGACTTTCCGCCCTCTTGACAGCAAACTTCTCATCTTCACCTGTCAAACCCCCTATATTAGCAAAATCGGGAGACCCAGGACCAAATTTCCGCTCGTCTGTGAAGGAAGTTCCTGCCTGGCGGGAGCGATTTGGTGGATCATCTTCTAGTGCGTCTTCGGATAGACTATCGCCAGAATAGGACGAGATGTTCGGTCTGAAGGGTGAATTGAGATCTTGGTAAATCTCTGAATATGTCTCTGGGTATACGGCGTCATTGTCTAGTGTCTCTTGTCCTGGTTCCGCCGCAGATGGTCGGGATGGAAAGAAAATTCCATCGGGACCTGCAGCCGCCGTCATCATCAATCTACATCTTGCTTCGTACATGGCGTCGAGCAAAGTGATGAACCGTCTTGCTTCGCTCTTCATCAGTAAGCCCATGACAGGTACATCGGTGACGATGAAGGTATGGTATGTAGATGCTAAAGTGATGTAGTCTGCTGGACCTAGGACTGCGCCGCAGAGCTCAGCAAAAGTGAAGAATGCCACACCATTATACTGAGCAGGAATCTCGAGGGGCCGGTTGTAGACCGTGAGGGTCGCGGGCTCCCAAGGGACCGGGTATTCGCGATTCGTTGCGCGCTCGACGAGAGAGTTGAAAGATTCGCCAAACTCTATCATCGTCTCTGTAGTGGTGGGCTGAACGAGGTAGTTCTTTGGAAGAAAAGATGAAGTCTCCATGGCTTCGGGGGCTGTATCTCGCGGTGCACTGGAAGGATCTGTAGTACCCATTGCCTCGACTGTCGAGGTTGCAGTGGCGTTGGCAGTGACGGTTTCGGATGCTGGCACCTGCACACTATCTCTTCTCCCCTCCTGTTCTTCGCTTTCAATCTTCCGATAATCTTTCTTCCCTTCCATCTCCCAAACTTCGCATCTCGCCCTAAGCACCTCCAAGAACGCGGCGAACTCTCCCATCTGGCCAGCCCCATCATCTCTCCTCGTATACGAGCTCTTGCTCATACTCCATCCTAACCGGCTAAGGCGAGTAACAGGACGCGAAAACTCCATACCCGCAGCTTTGGCCAACTCTTCTGGCATGCGGTTGCTGGTCGCAATGAGTACGCCACCAAGCTGGAAGAACGACGTCATGAGATTGGACAGAATCTTGCTAGCAGCGCGATCTGGCAATTGAAACTCGTCCAAGAAGAGGATGGGAGACTTCTCGATAAGGTCGCGTGCCACGAGAAGTAGAGAATACTCATCGTGAGCGGTCCCAGGTCCTGCCACTAGTGATCTCGACATTCGCAGTTGCTCCAGACGCGAGATGGTATCGAGCATGAAGGTGTTGAAGTGCCATCGCCGCTTCTTGCGGTTTGGTAGACAATCTTGGAAGAGATCTATCAGCATACTCTTTCCGGTACCAACTTCGCCGTGGAGCATGAGGCCTTTGGGACTTTGCAGTTGCATGGCCTCATCGTGGCTAGTCAGAACACGTGTCAATGCTTTGGAGTCTCTTTGGTCTTTTTGCGCAAGTAAAGACGTCCACACGCCCCTTCTACCGAAGCGGTTGACGTGTGAGTCTGTTGATGATGACGATGCATCTTGGCCCGCATCGACAGCTCGTGTAAGTTGTTGAAGCCTCTTGGAGTATTCTACAGTCGGTTCATAGTCGATCAACCTGTCATAGAGCTTCTGTAAATGTAATGCTGCGTTCAGTTTTAGTACATGCTCGACGCTAGTGTTGTCTAAATGGTAGACGTCATACCGAGACGATGCTGAGCTGGATCAGGTCGGATCTTCTGTGTAGCAATGAGACTGCGATAGAGCACCAAAGGGTTGGTGATCGTAACACCGGTGGAAGGCATTGGTAGTCATTGGTTGAAGAAACGAAAGTCTATGTGGCAGGATGTTTGAAGTCGACATGGCCGAGGTGATCTGCCCCGACTTTCGACTAGACTGCAATCGGCGCTAGCGCTTTTTGGGAAATGCCGATGGATGGGCAGGCAGCGCGCCATCAAAAGAGGCGAGGTTGAGAAACGGAACAATTATCCCAATAATTGCTATCAACGCCGGCAAGATGCAACATGGTATCGCGCTTAGAGTACAGTTCAATCAAATGCTTGTAACGCCGGGAGACCACGCATCGGCTATCTTTTTGACCTCTTGGATGAACTTGCGACTTGTGATCTGTGTCGAACCGATCCTATGTTCGGCATTTGCTGTAACTGGGGAGTGCTCATCTGGATCGTAGAACCTACACAGTAGAACCAGAAATTAGTATGCGTCTTGTTCGCACATGGTCCTGGATCGTCTTACGGGTTCCTCAAAAGCTTGATGTAAGCTGTCTGCAACGCCCTGAAAGCCTGATGGGTATTAGAGATTGCCCGAGATATAGAGCTTTGATCGTACAGGTTTCATGTCCGCATCTCGTAGCCCAACAGCAGTCGCGGTCTTGCTGTCGAGAGCTGTAGCTGGCCTGCCTTCCATGTCGACAACGATGACGAACTTGACTCCGGTGTTGGTGAGCCAGCCATACATTGCTAACCTCTCGTCTACAGCTTGAAGCAGTCCAAAATCCTGGTCTGCTGTTTTGTGCGGTAGACGAGCTTCGAAGATATCCAGACATGAGGAAAGAAGGAACTGGAACTCTAGTGGTGCCCTCTCCTCAGCCGGAAAGAGAGAGATATGCAGTGGATTATTCTGTAACAATGGTCAACTCTATCTAGATTAAAGTCGTACACCAGGTGTACTGACGTGCTTGCCAATTACGCCTATACAAGCGATAGAGGGGACCTGAGGACAGTCGTCAGCTCATACTGTATGTCCTGGAAACTTACGCCCCTTACCCGGCCTGACATTCTGTATACGATATCACCGGTTTAGACAGATCTGGTGGATCTGGGACGTGTATGCGGAGTAGTCTGGCCGACGTAGACCGAAAGGGTGATGGAGGGAGGCGCGATCGCCGCCTAACCTATCAGATGGCACCAAAATCGACGACTAATCGATTTCCGCCAAGCATTTTGCTGCACCTACCTCATCGATGAACTTCGCGACTCCTCGACCGCCACCCCACATCTTGCCTCTCCACTCCTTCACTTACGCCCTTCCTTCCTGTTCGTCGCAATAATGTTTTCGACAACAAGGTCTGCGGCCTCAATGGCTCTACGAGGTGTGTCCCCGCCACCCCGAAAGCTCGCAGTCTCCCGAAACTAATAACACGGACAGCCAAACCCGCGACGGCACTGATGCCATTCCGCGCCGGAAGCGCTGCTTTCCTCTCCTCAAGCTCTTCGGACAGGGCTACGACTATGAAAACGCCCGCAACTATCCCCGGCAACCCTGGGACGCCACCCCCGATGAAGTCCGCGCGAGTAGAGGTGCCATTGCCGAGTCAGGAGGGAAAGAAGGGGGCTATGCAATACGCATTGTATGTCATGACTTGCCATGTTTTTTTTTGGGGAAAAGAGACGAAGGCGACGGGAAGGAATGACTGCAGGGGCATACGCTAACGTGCGGTAATAGGACGACACTCGACCAAGTAGCCAACTGGGCCCGTCAGAGTTCCCTATGGCCGATGACTTTCGGTCTCGCATGCTGCGCCGTCGAGATGATGCACTTGTCCACCCCACGATACGACCAGGATCGTCTCGGTATCATTTTCCGTGCCTCGCCCCGACAGTCCGATGTCATGATCGTAGCGGGAACCCTCACAAATAAGATGGCGCCCGCGCTGCGACAGGTCTACGACCAGATGCCTGACCCCCGGTGGGTTATTTCCATGGGCAGCTGCGCAAACGGAGGAGGATACTACCACTACAGCTACTCGGTCACAAGAGGATGTGACAGGATTGTACCAGTAGACATCTACGTGCCTGGATGCCCTCCCACTGCCGAGGCGCTCATGTACGGAATCTTCCAGCTGCAGAAGAAGATGAGGCATACCAAGATCACCAGGATGTGGTACAGGAAGTAGAGGGCATGGGTTTGTGTGGTCTATTTTGATGGTCGTTTTATCTGCGAGTTTGAGGGAGCAGATTCCTCTTGTACAAATCGATCTTCTATATGCATAGTCTATATCAAGTCTAAGGTGTCATGGTGGTGTTACGCCGTTTCGCCAAGTCCAAACATCTTGACCGAATTCTTCCAAGCACTAGACATCTGTCAGTTCCTTCTCATCGCCTGTGTTGAGACAAAAAGTGGTGGACTCACGCGTCGCAGACCTCCTCCACGGTAACCTCCTTGATCTTTGCAATCGCATATGCCACGTGTGGTATTGTAGCCGGCTCGTTGCGGCCCTTGACCATCATACCTTTGGCGAACTTCTCCTTCTTGACCGCCTTGGGTAACGGAGGCGCGTCTTGCAAATACTTGGCTGATGCATGACTGGGTCGCATCTCGCACCATGGACCGTCAGTCTCAATCTGCAGGCGCTCAAGCGGTATTTGTTTAACCACCGCGATATTCTCGTCAGCTAAGCAACTGAGTTAGTGCTATATTATGTAGACTAGTGTATAGTATCGGTAACTAAAGCAGTAATGGCTATGGAGTACTTACTTTTCATGCTGCATCCGTTGACTCCAATGTCAAAACCCAAGCCAACAAGACGCTGCATCTCCTCGGCTGTGCCAGTAAAGCTATGAACCAAACCTCGTTTCGGCAGTTGATCCAGTTTCGCGGTCAAGAGCTTCTCAAAGTCTTCGCTCGCGGCTCGCGAATGTAAAAACAGTGGTAGCTGGACCTCAATTGCAATCGCCAGCTGTGCCTCAAAGTACTTCAACTGCGGCTCCTTTGGCGTTAGAAACAGGCGGTCATAATCAAGGCCTATCTCTCCAAAAGCAACTGCATATCCTGCTTCCTTGGCCTCAAGCGCAAGGGTTTTCAGCGCAGAGAGCAGTTCAGACGAGCCTCCAGGGTGCGTGTCGAACTGTTTTGCTGAGCAAGGATGTACACCAATCGTTGCATAGCACAGCCCTGGGTGCGCTTTCGCTATTTCGACAGCATGTTTGGATTCCTCGAAATCGGAACCTGTTACCATGAACTTCTTGCATCCAGCATCGACGGCTCGCTGTATGACGTCTTCGAAATCATCTTCGTGACGCTTAGTGCCGTGATATTCACCACGGTATATCGGATCCGTGAAGTTGATACCGATCTAGGGCAGGTTAGACGTAGGATGTGGCGGGAAAGTGAGATGCGAACCAACATCGATGTACTTGAGTTGAGGGGCTTCCGTCGTCATCTTGATGGTTTCGGGGGGTTTTTGATATGTAAAGGAGGTACTGTCTGATATTGATGTCGGTCTTGTAAGCATCTCGAGGTCAGTAAAGAATTAGAGTAATGACGCACGTGTAAAATTGCTCAACAGGGGTGGGATGAAGCTAGAAGGACGCAGTATAGGACATCGACTCGAGGTATGAACTGAAGCACGATATCTCAAGGCTTGCATGGGCTTCAGTAACATGAATGAAACTGGTAGATGGAATATGATGCTCACTGGTTGATCGTTGCTACCTCAAGCATATGTGACTAAGCCGTTTTAGGTTTAGGTTCGATGCTGGCATCTCTCGCACAGCCACTCTCTTTCACGACTGCATCTCTTTGCGCATCCAGTCATCACTGTAAATCAGGGCAGCATCTTGTATCAATACTGAACGGTCATCCGGGGACATCCACGTAGGAGGCGAACCAACAACGCAAGGCTTAGTCTCGTGAGTAGCCAGCTGCACTCGGCGTCACTCGAGACCATTTCGTGCACTTGCGTGCTTTCTTGGGTGTTGTGTAAAGCACCTATGAACGCAATCGATACAACAATGGAGAATTTATGGCATCTTCGTCGCGTGGCGGATAACGCTGCAAAGGCCTGTTGGATATGCTACAAGCCATCTACCAGTGTACTTATTACCCCTAGCAACAAGGTATGGAAGATTGACCTGATAGGCTGTAACACTCTGTGCTAATTCGCTAAAAGGATTTCTTTTACATCTGTCCTGGGCACTTATCTGACAAAGGCTTTTGTCAACCAGAAGCTGATGAAGCAAAGAGGATCGCAGACCAGAAGAAGCAAGATGAGCTGGATCGCGAGATTGAGGCTGTAAAAAAAGAATACGAGGAGAAGCAGAAGCTCAAGCGTGAGAAGCGAAAAGGAAAAGATAAGGACAAGGATAAAGAGAAAGAGAAGGAGACCAAGGGCAAAGAAGAGGAAGAGGACAAACAGGACGAGAAGGCCAAAGATGACAAAGCATGTAGCATATGGTATACCTTGCTGGCTAGGCTAACTTAAATGTAGATCAAAGAGCTCTCGAAGACCAAAGATCAAAATCTGGCTGAGCTTGGTCCTCGCATATATCAGCTCAACAAGTAAGGCCACTCCTACAAACTCCTTATTTGAGTTAGGCATGTTGACTTTGCACAGGAACTTCTATCAAATGCGCCTGGACAAGCTGCGGAATGCTGAGATTGCTAAACGAAACCGCGAACGACTGAACAACCCTGCAAACTTTCCGTCAGTACCTAGCGGGAACCCGTAGGCGCATGACATGTCCCAACATCGACAACGGTTGTACTATAGTAGCCATGGACCAGTGACTGCTCCCATCACTCCAAGGGCTTCCTCTTCTTCCCTCACCTAGAAGCAGGCGGCAATTACTTAGGCGAGCGGTAACGGGACTTACGACCGCCGACTATACATCCTTCGAAAACAACGCGGTCAGCACTTAGCGGCCGGTTCAAAGCCCATGCTTACCGAATGTCATACGTGTTACACATGGCCATCCTGTTTATAGTTATGTCTGAACTAAGTCCTAGGCAATTTGGTACCCTTTGACAAAGGACATCGTTCACTAACATCCTGACCGACATGTTCGAATGCCTTGATCCGCTAAATGAATATTCCTCTCGCTAAATGCACTCAAATTCTGCAGACATGCTCGTAGAATTCACCTGAGGACATCTTGCTTGTGTAAACTGTTGCGGGAGTGGCTTGGAAGCTTATATTACTGCAGCAGTTCCCCTACCGATCCACAGGTCTGTGTTATGCAAGACCAAATGTTCGATTTCAACTCTCCCTATTTGGACTGGAAACCTTTTGTAACCCGTTTTGAACAAGGCCTCAAGGACGGATTAGGCCATATGGCTGTTGCATTCGGTATGATTGTGAGTGAGTCATTTGGCGGACTACCCGGTTGGCCTATTACGGCCGTAGTCGTTCTCACCTGCGGGGTTCTGAGCACCTTAGTCCGTCCCAGCGTTACTTACAGGATATGTAGCAAGCTGCGGTACTTCGCAAGTTTGGTGCAGCAGTGAGCCATTGGCCATCTTGACCGTCTCCGGGATCGGCCTTTGCTGGAATAAGTACGGATATATCGCTGCATCGCTAAGCAGGCTTGGCCAAGGATACTCTGTGCCGCAATCGATGACTCAGAAGATAACTTCACGCTAGTGACAGTGTGAATGCTCTCTACGGAATGGACTGGAATAGGTCCACACATCGTTGCTCAACATCGTAGCGCATCCTACCTTCTCGCCCTCTCGCTTATCTCCACATACCATTTGTCACTATATCGCACATACTGAGTCATCCCATACGCGTGCCAACGACATCGATAAGCATCTTGGCAATGTACTATCTAAGGAAAGATGCCCTTTCAATAACGGTCACTGTACCAAGGATCGCAGCAGGCTGATGACTTGGGTGCACATGCAACCAGGAAAATGCCCAACAGTACGTCTTTCGAAGGGAAGGGATTTCTACAGAGGCTTACAGTCATCTGTGATCTTCCAACGTACTAAGCTTCCGAAGCGCTGATGCTGTTCATGCTTGATACTTGCAGCCAGACATCGATGCTCTTCTGTGGATCTGTCACCACACCATTTGACCTTTTCATATCTACCACTGAGTCGATATCTAATCTCTCCGCACTACCTGTAGCTCGACGCTTATACAGCGGCACAGGCCGTCTAGCGGCCGCCACTAAATCCGCCCTACGACCAGTCTGCTCCTCGTGATGCTGATGGTCAGCATTCTCGGGTAATCAGGCGAACAACACGTCAAACCTTGTTCCGAAGGACCGACTAAACAGCAAGCCTCGCTACAGACCTGGGCGCGTCAGCATCGTCCCGCGCATGTACACGGACACCACGACACATAATGTCACTTACCGCATCACATGCATGCAAGCGGCTTCACATATCCGCTCCATAACCTAGTTGACTTGACATATCGTGTATATTGTAATCGCTTACATGTCCCCGCACGTATGATCATAACAGCGCACCTTCTAATTGTAGCATAGTTAGTTAGATGCGTAAAGAGCAAGGCCGATAAGCATCTTGTGACACCTGCCCACCTCAAGCCTCACCACAGGGAAGTTTCACGATTCTGCAGCCACATCGTCTCTGGGTCACCGGGTCTCCACTGTTGCTGCGGTTCAGGCGTCCAAGGGAAAAGCTTTTGCGAGACCGATTCTGCGACCGGGTCAATGTCAGCGTCAGCACTTGCCTGAAGGCAGTACTTTGTGTGCACAGTGCCTTCGAATACAACAGCCGCTTACCTTCAGTTCTCATTGGTTGTATTGCAACATGTCAACTGCCACGCTATGTGTTCGCAGATCTCACCGACCCTAGTACTGAGGAGTAATATATGCACCCAAAACCGAGATTTAGATCTTGCTAATAAGCGTCGATCTGAACTTCTGTACACCGTTCACGACGGTTTGTGTCGGGGCTTTCTGACTTCAGTGCGACGTGCAGATTGTGATGCGGTCATCAACTTTAGAGTATGCTGCTAGGAGAGTTGTAGCACGTACCGAAGCAATTTCACAAGCCTAAAACAATACTACCTGATAGGATTCCATCCAAGGAAGGTTCTTTGGTCAGGGGTCCAAGATGCGGTTCTGGAAGTCGGTGTTCAAGTCTTAAAACTCCCTCGCTCGTCAAGATGAACGTGCATTTGCTTCTCTTTAAAGACTGTCTATCCGTCGTTACGTCTCTTCTGTCTACCTCCCTCTTTATCACAAAAGACATACTCATGACCATATCCATAATTACAACCATCATAACCCACTCCAAACAATGCACCATCATCAACCAATCATCAAAAACATGACAATATACGGCAGTGGCGATTACACCCCAATCTAGTGCTCACTGCTCACTGCTCACCCCAATCCACGTGAGCTCAACCTCTTTCGAAACAACTTACCCCACGTTTCGCATGTTTTGTGTCATGTCAGATTACAGATACCATCGCGTGTCGCGCCGAAATGAGAGATTTTCTGTGGGGTCGGAGAAATTAACATAAACGTAAGAAGGGGCTACACCGAGTTCTGTGAGTCTGCGTCAGCGCTACTGGAGGGCGCATATTTGTGTTTTTTGCCAGTGATGACCTGATGTACGTGCTGATGGTTTCTCGAGGACTCGTTGCGCTCAGACTGTCGTGTATGTGAGTTTGTGTTTATGTTGCTAAGATAGATTGCATACCAGCAGCTTAGGATCTGGAAATAGTGCCACTCTTCGATTGCGTCTCCTTGAAGGATTCAGGTCGCCATATGCTCAGTGAAACGGTGATTCCAGATGAGGTAAATTGGATGAAGCCGTGGTAAGGTATGCATAACTGGGAGCTGAAATGATGGATTATCAAATTTGTCCAGGTATTCTGCATCCGTGCACAAATCAAAAGATATCGTCTTCCAGGATGCATGTCCGTCGTCGTTCTTCCATGCTGCTCATACAATCTCAATGAATTACACATACGCGCGAGCAGAACATGGTGTTAGCGATGGCTTTTCGTACGTGTCATGTGCTCGAACGAAGTAACGTCATCGCCTCCGAGATATACATGAGTTCCGGAGATAACACCACAAAAACATCCGTTTGCTGACGGTATACGTACGCGTGTGCTTTCGCTCATGCCATTACCTAGTCCATATGTACGTGCTTTGAAGCAGAGTGACGAGGCCATTTATGGACATCAATCTTCAGTGTTATGGCTGACGTGAAGTTACGCATACTCTTGTTTCCGAAGACAGTCAAGCAGGTTGATGTTAAAGGGGTGACAAGCGTTCGCTGATGTTGTGGCGCTCGTGTATGGTATGCCAAGGCTCAGCGCTCAACGCCGACTCCCAGCCGAACAATGTTTGCTGCTGGCTGTGCGGCAGCAAGAAAACTCTTTTGCATCATCGCCGATGTCAGAGCAATTGGGACCGCTGTATGGTTCGCGCCTCAGACGGGTATCAGAGGCCGAGACGCGACGATTGCGCTCGCCAAGACAGGGTATTTGGTGTTACATTCGGCCTCGCCGGAAAGGATTCAGGTCAATGAAACATTCGAGAAGTGTTCTTAATGCATTGACATGACACACATGCTGTGTAATAGGTCGAAAGACTACATGGATGTCTTCGCTTCAAACAATGATTCTGGACATCCCGTCGTATCAACGCCCGCTGAATGGATAAAACATCCTTAAATGCAACAAATTTGCCGCTCAGTGGCACCAGAAGTTTCTGGGCCGCGTAACAAGATCTCTGCTATATGAGACCAAATGCCGTCATCAGTATCGTTATGCCCAAACGCACGGGCTTCGCCGCCAAGGGCTATAGAAAAATTGCAAAGCTGTCTGCAGGCGTGGAAACTTTTCGTCAGAAGGGGCGATATCTGAAAACGCCGCTCTATAGGACAAGTACTAATGCAAAGAAAGTGCTAATGCCGGCTCCGACCGGACTCTGTTGCTGAAGGGTATGTTTCGATGTGCAAAAGCCGCTCGGATTAGATGAGGTTGTTGCTGCGGGTTCAGAAAATCTCCAATATCCAATGGCGCTGTAGGTGGCCCACATCAATTATATCGCGTCTTTCGAAATCATGCTTCGTCATGTGCTTCGTTAATGACACCGGGCTTAGGTGCGAGACTTGAGGGGCCGGAGATGGAGCCCATAGAGCCAACACGCTCCTGTGGTGGCGGTTCGTCTCTCATGCATGCGTTCTCAAGCATGTTCGTCCATTTTCCACTGGTTCCGGCATGACTATGCTTCAAATGTTGTCTGAAGTGGTCTGCGCGGAAAAACTTCTTGGCTTGGTTGCATTCCCCAAACTTATGCACATGATTCAGATGCTCAGATCGTGCTTCCCAATCCGCAGGATTGGAGAACTCTTCACCGCAATAACCGCAAACGTCTGCCACATTCGGACGAGTAGGGGAGGGATGAAAAGCTGCATGAACACCGGCAAGCGTGGCGCATGACCAAGAATGTCGACGTAAATGAAGAGAATTCTGATGGCGCTCGGCTTCGTTCTTATTCTTGAAACGATTGGGACAGTACTGGCAGATGTACTGCTTCTCTAGCTCGTGTGCTCTGTTGCTGGGGTCAGCGTGGTCGCTCAATGGTGGACAGACCAAATGGCGGTGGACAAGCGAGAATCCATGCACTTACCTCAACTCATCTTCGCTGTCGAATTTTTTGGGCTTCTTGGGACAGCATTCGCAGATGTAAGCTCCTGGTAAACGATTTGCGATTGAATTCTGTCGCGAGTGCAACATGCTTTCCGTTGACATTTTTCGTATCTGCGGATGCTCGGACTCCGAGAAGCCTCGCTGATGCGGAGGTCGTGACAACGACCCGTGGGGGCTAGGGTCCAATGACCTATTAGCTGCATATGGCGAGACGGGGCCTAACTCTGTTTCGCCCAAAGGCGACAACGCACTGGGTGAAACGCGCTGATCTCCGCAATAACTTGCCATACTGCTTGGAGCGGTTGAAAACCCGAAAGAAGAGCCGATCGAACCGCTGCGTTGACTTACGGACCCAGTCGAAGATAGCGAGTTTGAGTTTGACTGAAAACGAGAAGCTGCGCAATTCCGATTAACCAGCATTTGCTGAGAGCGGCGGTGGTAGAGATCATTATGGCCGCTTGGGATGGGTCGATCGTCGCGCGCGGCTTCAGAGGGCGGCGACGAGGCCCGCCGTTTTAGGCCACCCTTAGGGCCCAACTGATAGTCCTCTGACTCGGCAGGGCTACGTTCATTGATGTTCAGATCACGCATTCCATTTTCTTCCATGCCACCAAACTCGGGATCCGAGAATATGCTGTGGTCGTAGCTACCGCGGTGCTGAGAAGATGTCTCGTCTAAAGGGCCTGGAGTTGAAATGCTTCCGTAGCGTGCCCTTTGTGATTCCGCTGAATCGAATCCTGGACTACGCCAGCCGTTGTAACTCGGTGATATAGTAGGTACAGTCAACGGCTTTAGTTGACCGCTGAGCTTGTGAGAAGGGACGTGTGTATCGGAAGCGGCGGGGGCGTGAGTGCTGGCAGAGGAGATGGATGACGCGGTTGTTCGTGTGGGTGTATTCGGGCCGCCGATCTTCGAGAGTAGTTGCTTATCGTAGGCATGCGATGAATTCTGCACGGCTTTGTGACCGAGTTGTCGCTCGCTCGTGAGTCTATGGCACATTGTTAGTCATTAGAGAGCACACGACACAACGCCAGATTTGTAGGCACAAAGAATGCAGGTAACCCTTGACAAGTTCTGAACCAATTGACATGCATGGGAATCCTCCAAACGACAAGGATTTGTCAGTGAAGCAGTGACACGGCATCTTGACCAAAGATATACAAGCGCTGCCGAACCTTGCCAGAACCCTAACACGTCTTGCTCTTTGAGATGAGGGGAGGTATAATAGAGTGTTCCGTACCTGTGGTTCTTGAGAGATGGCCGAGCTTTGTTACTACGGTCGTCCTCGCTGGTGTTGCTGTGTTCGCTCATGCCGTCGACGGATCTAGAGACGGAAGGTTCGCGGGCAGGGCTAAACATATCGACCGAAGGCTCCCGCGGATAGCTGCCTGTGGCTCCACCGTACAAGCTCGAGCCAGGTCTAACTGTCGCGAGCCGATTTCCGCCAAAGCCGGTGTCCCTTGGGCTGTTTGTGTTACCCCATTGCCAACCAGGGTCTCTTCCACTGAGGTCGATATGACGTGGAGGAGGCAAGGGTGGTGGTGCCTCTTCGCGTGCCTATAAAATTTTGGTACAGTCAGTGAACCATTCGTATAGCGTGTTCAGTCCCGGATGAGGCTGGAGCACTTTGTGACTCTTTCAGGAGCTATATCTCGCGTGACCGAGCCACAAGCTGCTCCAGACCGCCCGTTATATATTCACCGGCTGGAACACGAGCTTACATACTCTCGGTATGGCCATTGCGACAGCCGGGGTGGGTATCGACGGTCGGCGGTGGTGTGGTAGTTGGTAGTGGTGGGAATCACGCTGAGAATCATATACGCGAATACTCGGTGTGGAGGACATGGCTCGTAGGGAAGATGAGGTCGCCGGGAGCGCGCCACTAGGGTGCAGCTGAAGCGTACTCGCGCAGCACGCGAGCACCGCGAATGTGGCGAGCGCGACAAGCAAGAAGAGTGAGTATGGTCGCTACTGGATAGTGTATGCGAGCACGGACCTAGAGGTAGAATCGTTAGCCCGAAACGACACGGACTGGCCGAGACAGGCAGGGGAGGACAGAGTGAAGGCGTGCAGACGTAGCTGAACTCTAACAACTACGTACTAAACAGCATGCGACGTACCTTTGCGGTCGTGTGGGACTTACGCGTCGTTGGGATGGATTCTCGACGGCGAGGCTTACAAAAGCGAAAGCGGGGGCGCTAGCGCTTGCGGCTGTTAAATGTTCAGCCCTACGAGCCAGAGGGTCCTTCAGCTGAACGGAAGGGTTCTGGCCAGCACCGCCACAAAAATGATATTGCTTCTTTTCGCCCAGGACTAGTCGTCATAAAACCAGTATGGTGCGAGCAATGCAACGAGTGAAGTCGTCAGTTCGTTCGGAAGAGGCCTGTTCCTGCTACACGGCAGCGGAAAAGACGATGCGGGACTGCGGTAGGGCCCTTAGCGTGAAGGCGGGTGGAGTAAAAGGGAGAAGGAAGCGTCCCTCGGCGTCCAGTGGTCCGGAGAGGCAGAGAGTCTGCAGGACAGAGGCACCGCTGGATAGCAGCAACAGCAACAGACGGAGCAGAAGAAACGCCCTCCACCGGGGAGTGCGGTTAGCATAAAGCACTACGCTGGATGAGCTTGAATGTCGGTGATTGGTTATGCCTGGTTGCTCCTGGCACGGAGCGCAGTGGAGACCTCAGCAGGGGTAGATGCAACCCTTTAGTCGGTCGGAGCAGGGCTCTGGCTTTCGAGAAGCTTCAAGGTCCACGCCCCGACCCTCATCTCGTGCATAGGGCTTGCCATTAGCGCTGGCAGGTCGACTCGCAGTAGATTGCTCGTGACGGCAGACGACTCCCAGCAGCGTGAGATAGAGCTCAGTCGGACCAAGAATAATCAATCGAGGATTGGCGCCCGCTCGTCCAGCTGCCCTGTGTGCCGATTATTACGCAAACCAAGTAGAGCCGATCTGCCAGGACGTCAGGCCGGTGCAACGGTGAGATGGCTGGTAGGGCAGGCTTGGAAGGCATGCCGACGGCGTGGGCGCGCTGGCTGACGAGGGTTGCATGCCTGGAATCTGACCAAATTGTCCAACAATGCAGCGTTGCGCTTCGCCTCGATGGGGATTGGGGGGAAGAGGTGCAGACGGCACAGCGTCAGATTCAACCGTGTGTGGGTTAGACTTGAGTGCGGGTAGCGGAAGTCAGTGCGCACGGATGCCTGAGGAGTTCCAACAGAGTAAGCTCCTTGCAGCCTTACAAGCGCCATCGATTGCACCATCAACTGTAGTCACCCATCATCAGTCAGGCTGAGACGGCCACGGCTGTTCTCCCATGCCACGCTGATCTGCTGATCGCTATCGCGGCGGGAAGCTGGCCTGCCCTACACACTGCCTAGGTATACCTGCATCCTGAGCGGCAAGCCCTCCGCCATCAAATCGAATCCACGGCGGGGCGTACACGCTATGCACACAGTGCACTATCTCCGGCAGCCAATGCGACACAGGCTGCCTGTCTGAGATATCGCATTCCCTGCTCCCCGACATGGTATTTTTGGCAACTACACTCGTTGTACGGACAAAAAAAAAACACCTCCCTCCATCTGCTCCTACACATGTTTCCCATGGGGCTGTGTCCATGGTCCATTCCAGGGTACCTCGTGCTGTCACGAGCGGCAACTTGCAGACGACACGAGTATTACTCCGGGGTATCGGATTGGGGCCGAACCTACACACAGTGGTACCTACATGGTACGTTGCTTTTTCACCGGCAGGTGGGTCCTGCTTTGTGGTCAGGTAAGCGGTCGTTCAGCCACTTTGAGACAGCGCGAACCAGCAAGTCTTAGGTGATGTCAGCGACTTCTCCATCTAGTCGGCGATATGGAATGCACGGAAATTCGCAACTACCGCGTCTCTACCCGTTTTCCAAAGCATTGATGCGCTTCGCCGAGATGCGGGACGAGGCGCCATCATAGCCTTGCAAGCAACCGGGGAGTACGAGCAATTCGCTATTTCTGGCTGTCGGTAACGACTGCAATATTGCTTGTCTCACGATGGAAGCAACACCACACCACTGACACGAGACAACATATGGCTCTCATTGACCGCTGTCCAGATTCATGGCTGCCCGGGCAACTTCGACATCTTTGGGGCGCAGTAACGGACGGCCTCGGGAACTCTTCGTACAACTGGAATTTTTCGATTCAAACTATAAACTCACCCATGTTAATTGTATGCAGTCCCTGATCCATAGTGTGTAGCTCCGCGGTCTTGCGGAAAATACCGCTTACTGCAACGACACATGACTCTCTTGATGACAGTTCTTATTGCAAAGGGTCTCACTAGGAACTATGAACTACGGGGAAGCACGGGCGGGCAAGGAATATAGTGTGTGTAGCTATAAGGCTACGAACTGCTAGCTCCATGATGTCTCTAAAGCTCATGGTACTCTCTCTGTGACTCTTGGCCGCAACCTTGGGTAGAGTCACACCCGTCGATCCAATAATTCTGAAGGTGAATAGAATGCTCGGCAACTGCTCAAACGCGCTGCATTTTTTTGTCTTTGCCGATACAACAAACTCGATGACAGATGTCATTACTGATGGTCCGCAATTTTGGCGGGCACGCGCGACCAGAAACCCTCGGTCAAAATTAGACCACCTCTCTCACACCTTCAACAACGCGCGCTTCTTCTAGGATTGTTGATCACCGTACACTCATCTCCGGCGTCCGATTGTTCTCGGAGACCTCGTTTCGCCTATCATGGCGCTCATCGACAGAGTCCCTGGGGACTTGAACCTGTATATCGGTGGGTACGTAATGTCGACTATCGTTTCGCATCTGCCCCATGGCTCAGGTCTGGGGTCACCGGACTACTGTCTAACCATTGCTGCATAGCATGTTCACTCTGCGACGGCGCGAGGCCCTCCAGCAAGCCAATATTACGCACGTCTTGTCGGTATTGCGCACACCACTAGATCAAGACTTGTTCGGCCCCTTCAAGCACATGGTGGTGGAGGTCGACGATGTCGAAGACGAAAATCTATTGGAGCATTTCCCTGCCACAAATCGCTTCATACGGGAGGGGCTTAAGGGAGGTGGCGGAGTCTTGGTGCATTGGTAAGTCAACATCCTGGTCAAGCTGAAGCCTTGCATATCCAACAACTTTGGATCGCCGCCGACGATTGCCTTGCTTGGCAGTTTTGCCATCTTCACAAACGACAACAGCCCCAAGCCCTCGTCACTGGTATGCAATGCATGCAGCTCAATTTTGCTCTCCGCGCGTCCTGCATCATGTTTTTCGTCTTTTTTCGCCTTCCGTTTTCTGCGATTTTTCCCCGATACACACCGCCCAGTTGCCACCCTATTTGTTCTCAGCCACTCGTATCAATATGCCAACCACAACCTCTTCTCTAGTGCTATGGGCAAGTCACGATCGGCTACCGTCGTCATCGCTTATTTGATGCAAGAGCACAACATCAGCCCGTCGGAGGCTTTGTCGCACGTTCGGCAAGCGCGATCCATCTGCGAACCAAACGAGGGCTTCATGAAACAACTGGAGCTATACGGTGAGATGCAGACACCCGAGAACGTCGAAGATACCCCGGCCTATCAACGATGGGTTTACCAACGGGAAATCGAGCTGAGCCGCGCGTGTGGCCAAGCTCCAGAAGCTGACAAGATTCGCTTCGAAGACGAACATGTCGCCGACGAATCTTCCGGTTTCGAATTGAGATGTCGTAAATGCAGGTAAGTGGAGTTGTGGCAAGACGTGATTGATGTCACCATACTGCCTGTTGCCGCCCATCTTGCTCAGCGCTTACAAAGTCTCAGGCGAGCATTAGCGACGTCACAATATCTACTACCGCATGGGTCCACCCCATCTGTCAGCGACCAGAACGCAGAAGCTCAAAAAGCTCCATCGCAGAACTGTGCCCACTACTTCCTAGATCCCCTGTCGTGGATGCGCCCGGAGCTCGAACAAGGCAAGTTGGAAGGGCGTCTGGAGTGTCCAAAATGCCACACCAACGTAGGCAAGTATGCCTGGCAGGGGATGCAGTGTAGTTGTGGAGAGTGGGTCGTCCCCGGTATCAGCCTTTCCAAAGGTCGAATCGATGAAGCAAGGAAAGCAAACTTTGGCATCCGGCGTCCACCGGGAGCTTCAGGTCCGCCTCCGCTAGGGGCAGTTCAGTCAAAGGAGAACCTATAAGATCTTTGAAAGATGTTGCTATACATCAGCTCGGCGAGGAGAAGACAGCTTACATTTAGCTTCTTCGGTGGCCCGTGCCTTATCAAACCCCCAAGAAGGACATACCTCCGATCCACTCGGTCACTTCATCACCACAGGGAAGATGGTAGAGATGGTAAAGATGGTAAAGATGGTAAAGAATGCTCTCAGTTCGGGAACACTACAAGCCGACGTGTAACCACATGATGGGGCAGTAAGCTCAATCGATCTCTGTATCGGCTACCAATCTATCTATCTCACTCCTATCGCTACTAAATCTACGATGAAGATTACGGGTACGTCGCCCGGACAGCATCTGTGTGCAACAAAGCCGTATATGCCTTTGCTCTATACGTTAGTTCCCGTAGCCTCCAGCCAAGTATTCTAGACTACGCCCATGGCTAGCCTACCAGTCTTCTGAAACCGCACGGCTATTCAAGCTGAACAAATTTCCTTGCTGATATGACCCATTCAGTCCGTGGCAATGTCTTGCGGCTTAAGCCGTCTGTCACTTGATAATGACCGCTTCTAACGTCGATTGAGACACTATTACAATCACAAAGTGGTTTGTACGCAGACGGATAGGTAGAGGTAATTGAAGTGTAGAAAAAGTCATATGCATTGATTTGAGTAATCAAAACGCCTGAAATAGTGTACGTTGTAACTCGAAGAACGATGAACCAAGAGTGATTCGTATATGCTCATAACCCGTAACCCTATCCCCGACCTGAAGCAATGAACACCACAGCGCCATGCAGTAAACGACAGTATGTCAATATAATACTAAGAAACGAACAGGCTGCGTGTCCGAGCCAAGAAGAATAAAAGGAAACGAAAACGCCAGTGATCGTACCCATGCACCAGCATTACAGCTTCCCTGCTATTACCCGTCTATCTTACACAGAAGAATCAGATCTCGTCGAGGCGACAGCCTCGCTATCAGCACTCGAGCTCCTGGTCAATTCTTCGCCTCCTTCAAGGCCTAGCCTCTCCATCTCCTCGGCAATCTCCTCATACCACTTGCCATGGCATTTGCGGTCCACTTCACCAACTTTGCCAAGCTGTTCACAGATATCCGCGACTTGAGACACGAACTCTGGCAGACCAGTAGTAGCAAGTCCTTCGGTGGCGGTGCTAGCAGCTTTGACGCGCTCGCCAGAACTGCTGGCGCTTACCCGGTTGAAGATATGAGTCTTGAGTCTTTGGAACAAGACCTTCATCACAGGGTCGGATAGCTTGCCAGCTTCAGCTTGCGTAAGAAGACGCGTGATCGTGGAGGAGAGCTGGGAGCGCGTTGACGGTGGCATGTTGCGAGACGACTCAAGAAGAGAAGAAATCTTCGAGGGAGTAGAAGGGTCTGACATGTATCCATTCTCCTTCAGCACCAACCACATTTTGTTGGCTTCAGACTTCCACTGCGCGCGCACGTCGCGTTTGAGTAGGTTCTTTGCCGTAAGCAAGATACCCCCGATCGTTGTTATGCGAAGCGCGTCCTCGCGAATGCGGGAGATGCGTGCACGATCTAGTTCGAGCGTCTCCGGCAGCTCAGAGCTTCGCAGTGGCGGCGTAGCGATTGCGAGGTCGACAAGACCACGAGCGTAAATCTTGTGCGCTGTAGGGCGATTGATGGGGTTTGCCTGACTCCAAGGGTCACGACGGTCAGCTTCGGTATGCATGTTGACTGCTGCGCTGCGCCACCATCTGCGTGTGCGGTCGAGAGTAAGGTTGTTTTCCTCCAGATCCTGAGTGAACATGCGTTGCTCGTACCCAACAGCCTCTTTGACGAGTGTTGGTGCGGCGTTCATCAATAGGAAGTTTGAGTAGTCCAAGGACAAAAGATCGATGATATGAAGGACCTTGAAGAGCTTCTCGATCATGCTTGAAAGTTCACCTTCTTCTTGCAGCTCCTCAGCAAGCAACTGAACTTCGGTGTCTCGAAAGGGTGCGCAAAGCTTTGGAAGAATGCTAGCAATAAAATCGAAGAACTTCCCATAAGAGAAGACGCCTTGACTGCACTGCCTGCTGATATGCTCCGGATCTAGAGTCTCGGAAATGAGTGTGTGCATTGAGTTGCCAGGTTTCAGAAGCCGTAGCAGCTTTCCCCGTATGTTCTCCGCCATGGCAGCAGTCCAGTTTGTGCTGTCACCCTCTTCAAACCCTCGCCGCATTGCGTCGCAGAGCTCACGGTTGAGAGCATCGCGCAAGTCTGCCGTCGGCGAGGGATCGATGCGGTAGTCTTTGTCAATAGAGAGTTCGTGAACCAGAATGCGATTATCGGGCACGACCGTGAAGACCTTGGACAGCGACTGTGCCTGGTGGCCCTGAGCAGTGGAATCTTGGAGCCCAGATTGTCCAGAAGCTGCAAGCTCTGAAGCAGCTTCAGCCTGCTTGGCTGCACTATCGGCTGATAGCGGAGATTCTGGTGTTGAGTCGCTTGCAACACGCGGTCGTACAGTGTCTCCTGCGAGCCTCTTCTTTGGCCTTGACCTTCGGCTTTCGCGTATGGCCTTCCTGATCAAGGTAAGAGCCTTGTCAGGCCCCGCCAACTTCTTGATTTTGCTAAGTAGAATAGCCTGGTTGTCTCTGATACCATTTCTGTACTCGTTTGCAACCTCATCGACCGTCGCATCTTTGACACTTTGCCATATTTCGTCAAGGCTGACAAATGAAGCTACCATTGTTTCGATAAGCGCGGAGGAGTCGCGGGCTTTCCAGTCATTGAAAGCGGTAACAAACGCGCCATGAGCAAGCAGTACAGTTTCTGTACGCGTGGGTGAAGGAGTGTACGAGTTGAGCTTTGTTAGTTTTGCCAGAGCAGACTCGAAGCTGATGACGAGGTCCTTGGCTTTGGTAATGAGATCCTGTTCCTGATCGCCGTCGCGACTGAAAACATGTGTGGGATGTCCAAGGATGAGGTACGCGGAGAGGAAGGTTCTGACGGCAGCGCTGCGGGAGGCTGGATCTGCGTCTGGAAGTAGCACAAACAGTGTCATGATTCTATCGGTGGTCCTGAGCAGCTTCTCATCTGCGAGCATGCCAGTAATGACTTCGAAACTGGTCTCTTGGACCATCTCGATTGATAGACCGAGCTGGAGCCATTCGGTGACAATATTGCTCCTAACTTTGCCTCTCCAGGCAGCCTGGATCCTCTTGGCAGCATCTTCCGTCGACACGATGGGGCGCTCGGTCCGTATCTTGATATCAGCGGGGGGCGAGCTTGCGGTCCGTGGTCGTCTGGGGTTGCGCTTGTACTCCAGTCTGCGTTTCTCGGCTTCTGCTAACTTCTCCTCCATCTCGGTGCGGTATCGTCGTTCCTCAGCGGCCTTGCGCTCTTTCATGTCTTCGGCAATCTTCTTGGCTCTCCTCACTTCCTCAGCACAGGAAGCGGCTACTTGTGCCAGATGTTTCTCACGAGCCTGCTGTGCTGCCAACGCCCTCTCTTCACTGTTGGAACCACGTGGGGTAGCCTTGGCCAAGGCAGCACGTAGCCTGACCTGCTCGGCATGCGCTGCCCGGTCTGCTAGCCTAGCCTTGCGATCTTCGAGTATAGAGGCACGGCGGAGATGCTGGGCTACATGGTGGCTCTGACAGCTGTTGCGGAACGAGCGATTGGACGTGTGCGAATGTGTCGAGGACAGCGAGTTTCGGCGGGACGAGGTGGCCGAAGACTTGCGACGGTTGCTTGTATGGCGATAGAAGCGGGCAGCGATCCGTGGTGGTGGAGCAAACGACTGGCCGTTCTCGGCGTCTGATGAGAGGATCATGTCGGGCTCCTCGGGGATGTCGTCGTTCTCCCGCTGCAGCTGCGAGCTGACCAGCTCCAGTTCCGAGTCGGTGAGCGACATGGTGTAGGGATGCGAAGACGCCCTCTGGCTCAGGAGTGAGCGTGTTTCCTGAGATGTGAAACAAAGCACGGTCTTGGTGGTGCTTTTTAGTGTAACCAGACGCAAGCGGACGGGGTATCTATAGCAATGGCGACTATCTTGGCGCAAGGGTAAAAGACATGTACAGGAACGAAGGACTGCAGAAGTCCGTGGGGAGCGTGGTCAGCCGACGACTTGTATTGATGGATGGCTTGGTTGATTGATAAGCTGTAACGCCCTAACAGCGCCTGACGATGGCGGGCACCGTGCGCGATGTCTACACAGTCGTTATGGTAGTCGGGCAAGTGTGCGCGACGGCATCTGTCGCATGCAGAAGGCGTAGTCGATGGCTGGGGAGCGCATGACGATGCACCTACGCATGCTGACCGGTCGACGCCAAGACCTCGACGCGGAAGCTAAAGAAGTCCATCGAAGATCGTCGACCGCCCACGCCAGAATCCTCCACTCTAAGCCTTACCGTCGGCCTCTCTATGCCCTCTAGACCGAACTGTTCATGGTTCTCTTTCATCACTGTACCAGTAAACCATATGCTCGCCCGTCTCCGCTACGTCATCAAGCTCTTCGTGCTGCATTGCCTCTATTCACGTGTTTTGTAAAGAATGCTAAGCCTTACGAGAATGTGCACGAAACCTACAACGTCGCCCAGGACAGATCCAGCGGCAGACTCGAGTCATGACCAAACAGTTCCACTTCGAAGCCAACTTGTCTGAACAGAAAGATAGTCAACATGTCCTTGGAGGAACTGCCTTAGTTGCAGTATGTCAAGCGAATTGGGAAGAGCTTGACTATACGACAAGAAGAAGCAATGAAATGTAGTGAATCTGTTGTCTGCCGAGCACCTGTACGCTGGACGGTATGAAAGGCTCGCACGAGCACGTAGACTCACACGAGTAATATAGGAGCAGGAGATACAGCGGTCATTTACGCCTCGTCCTCATTCACGCCAGCCCACTCTTTAAGAGCCCTCGCACACTAGACACATTCTCTCTACCCTGTTTATCCTCAACCCCGCACTCAGATCAACAAGTCTCAGCCCTGTCACACGACACATCCCGCAATCTGACGAGGCTTCGAGCAGCGGGTGGGGAAGCGTGGCAT